TGGTCGAGGAGGAGCTTCTTCCTTCTCTTCCTTCTCTTCTCCTCTTCTCTTCTTCTCTTCCCTTCTTGGTTGGATTCCCTCTTGTGAAGAATGAGAGCTCTATTTATAGATTTTATGGAGTGGCATAACTCGTAAATAGACGTGAGATCAGGGGCGAATAGGGAGTGGTTGAATGGAAGACCGATATCGAATCCTACGACCGTGCACCGTTCGTTGGACATTTGAAGGTCTTAGAGATGTCAGAATTCTGAGATCTTGGGCTTGTTGGATTCGTCTCGTCGAGCCGTTCGATTCGAGTATAAGCTCGTTAAAATCAGAGACCGTTTGGTATCTCAAATTGCAGTTTGAACCTTCCAACAGCGCTTCGGGTCCATGATTCGGACCCATTTGGGCTCGGATCGAGTTGAATTTGGTGTCGTTGGGTTCGTATTTCCGAGACGCTCAGTTCGACTGTAAGTTTGTTGAAATCGGAGTTCGGATGGTCTCCGAATTAATTTTTGAAGTTTCCAATTTGATTTTGCATCGAGATTCGAACCCAATTAAGATAATTTTTTGACGACGTATCAGTTGTCCCCCTGTTTTCGGACGTCGATGCTCCAGAAGTCCGAAATATATCTGTCGACATTTCATCTTGGCCGAAACGGAAAAAAAAATCAAAACCTTGCTCAAACGTTATCATAGAGGCCCCGTTGAGCTTCGAAAGTGCCAAAATTGAGTCCAGAACGTCGAAAAAAGTGTCTGGAGATCCAAAAAACATCAAAATCGGACCGTCCAGGCCAAAAATCGGGCTCGGACACGCTTAGGTGGCCGAACCGGCCGGTTTTGAGCAGCCGGCAGTTGCCGGCTGCAGTTTGAGCTTTTTTTTTTTGAGAGAGTGGGAGAGTGGGAGAGAGGTAGAGTGGGAGAGTGGGAGAGAGGGAAAGGGAGACTCCCCTTTCTTCCTATAAATAGGCCCCCCCCCTTTGGACCTGATTCCTTGCATCTTCTCTTCTCCCTCTGTCCTTACAATTGAGGCTTTCCATTGGTCCTCCAAGGCCTCTCTCTTTGCAAGAAAGTCCGGAGATTTCCTCATTCTCCCTCTATTCTTACAATTAAGGCTTTTCCTTAGTTCTCCAAGGCCCCTCTCTTTGCAAGCAAGTTCGGAAATTTCCTCATTCTCCCTCTATTCTTACAATTGAGGCTTTCCCTTGGTTTTCCAAGGCCCCTCTTTTTGCAAGAAAGTCCGGAGATTCCCCATACTCATTCCAACACCCTTAGGAGAAATGTCGGGTGATCGCCTTCCATCGAGAGATCCTGCGATCCGGGGAGACCCCATCGTACTGTATGATTGCGAGCGGAGGTCAAATAAGGAAGCGAGGGTGGATGAGACAGCGTCGAATGTTACAAATGACTTCCTGTTTCTCTTTCGCAAGAATTATCATTTTCCGAATGATGTGAAGGTGATTGTTCCTAAGAGGTCGGATCGGGCTAGCCTTCCTCCTCCCCGGTACTTGACCGTTTCTGAGACCCATTTACGAGAAGGGTTGCTCTTTTCGCCTCCTGCCGAGTTGATTGAAGTTTTACAACGGTGTGGGGTGAACTTATCCCAATTTTCATTCAGAGCGATGTCGGTGACTGTGGGATTGATTGCTCTTTTCAGGGATCGAGGAGCTACTTTGACACCAGAGCATCTTTCACGGATGGGTCGATTTACAGTGACACGCATGGGCGTGTAACCTTCCGATCCAAATGGTTGGATGTGCGTACTCGTAATCCTTCAAAGAACTGGACAAGTGCATTCTTCTTTGTGAAGAATGATTGGGGCTTGATAGAGAAGTGGGGAAGATGAAGGATTTGCCATCCCCTCTGCATGTCAGCGAAGAAGACATCATGAGAATCTTGAAGGTTCCTGATCTCGATCATCTTTTATTCGAGGTTCGTCATATGAGTAGATACACCGAGGAAGAGTTCTTGTTCAAGGTTGGGCTGTCGTTCCATGCTGGGAGGTCTGATGCAAGGATGCTGAAGCCGACTTTCAAGGCCCCTGAGCCCCCTGCCCCAACTTCAATTCTTACAATTGAGGCTTTCCCTTGGTTTTCCAAGGCCCCTCTTTTTACAAGAAAGTTCGGAGATTCCCCATACTCATTCCAACACCCTTAGGAGAAATGTCGGGTGATCGCCTTCCATCGAGAGATCCTGCAATCCGGGGAGACCCCATCGTACTGTATGATTGCGAGCGGAGGTCAAATAAGGAAGCGAGGGTGGATGAGACAGCGTCGAATGTTACAAATGACTTCCTATTTCTCTTTCACAAGAATTATCATTTTCCGAATGATGTGAAGGCGATTGTTCCTAAGAGGTCGGATCGGGCTAGCCTTCCTCCTCCCCGGTACTTGATCGTTTCTGAGACCCATTTACGGGCAGGGTTGCTCTTTTCGCCTCCTGCCGAGTTGATTGAAGTTTTACAACGGTGTGGGGTGAACTTATCCCAATTTTCATTCAGAGCGATGTCGGTGACTGTGGGATTGATTGCTCTTTTCAGGGATCGAGGAGCTACTTTGACACCAGAGCATCTTTCACGGATGGGTCGATTTACAGTGACACGCATGGGCGTGTAACCTTCCGATCCAAATGGTTGGATGTGCGTACTCGTGATCCTTCAAAGAACTCGACAAGTGCATTCTTCTTTGTGAAGAATGATTGGGGCTTGATAGAGAAGTGGGGAAGATGAAGAATTTGCCATCCCCTCTGCATGTCAGCGAAGAAGACATCATGAGAATCTTGAAGGTTCCTGATCTCGATCATCTTTTATTCGGGGTTCGTCATATGAGTAGATACACTGAGGAAGAGTTATTGTTCAAGGTTGGGCTGTCGTTCCATGCTGGGAGGTCTGATGCAAGGATGCTGAAGCCGACTTTCAAGGCCCCTGAGCCCCCTGCCCCAACTTCAAAAGTGGCCCCCAAACGACCGGCAAGGGGAGAAGATCACCAAGTTTTGAAGAAGAAGAGGTTGGACGGGACTGCGACAAATATTGACAAAGCTCTATCTAACTCTTCCCCAGCTAAGTTGTGTATCCCTGAGGATGTTTTGAACCACCAGTGTATTGAATTTAATAAAACTAGTAATTTGGTGAGTAACATATCCCAATGCTTTTATCTCATTTTCTTCTTGGGTGACTTCTAATAAACTTTTCTTTTTTATTTCAGCTGTCACATCTTGGGATCGAGATTAATGACTAGAACAATGAATTTGTCAAGATCAAGTATCTTCAGGGATAGTTCAAGCGAAAGTATGATCATAAGGTCAAGGAGGTAAAGGTGCTTGAAGAGGAGTTGAACAAGTGCAGGACTGAGTTGACCAATACAATGCACTCCGTATCTCTCCAAAATCGGCAGGCAAATCGGCATCAAATAGATCTGGAGGAGGCTCAAGCGACAATCACCAGGCTTTTGAAGGATCAGAAGGCTTCTGAAGAGAAGATAGCATCACTTGAGGCAAATGATAAGAAATCCCAGGCTCTTATAGCTGAGGAGGCTGCTTTGTCTGGCACAGAACTTTCGAGAGTTATTGAAGATTTCAAGAAGTCCATAGCTTTCAAGACTATCATTCAGGATCACGTCCAGGAGGCTCGAGATCATATCTACGATATAGAAGTGAAGGGTTTGGAGCAGCAATATATTGAAGATGGATTAATTCGGGGCTTTTTTAAGGGGGTCCGCTTGATGCAGCGAAAGACCGGAGTTCAAGTCGACGGGGTGACCCCTAGCCAGGCTTCAGATGACTTTCCTTCATGTTCTGATGGTGACGAGGTAGAGAGTAATCTTCGGAAGGTCCTTGATTCGGATGTGGATGATGAGGTTGTAGATATTGAGTAGGATTTTTAGTTTATGCTGTTTGTATTGCTTTATCTTTTTTAGGGATTGTGTTGTACTTAATGTTTGTGTTGATATGTGATGTCTACTTTGATTTAGTAGTGGATTGTTGATGTATTTTTATTTGGCTTAAACATTCTAGTGCATTTATTCAACTTGAATGAATTTTACTTATGCTTGCTTAAGGTACTTGCATTCAACTTGTAAGGAGAAGTTCAGGAGGATCCACCAAAGATGTGTGACCCATCCGAGGTTCTATGCCAGAGCCTTGCTCAATGATGCTAACCTGTGTGAAAGAGGTTTAATGAATTCGCTAAGGATGTAGGACCTATTCGAGGTTGTATGTCAGAGCCCTGCTCGATGATGTTAACCTGTGTGGAAGAGGTTGAGAGAATCCACTAAGGATGTAAGACCTATCCGAAGTTGTATGTCAGAGCCCTGCTCGATGATGTTAACCTGTGTGGAAGAGGTCGTGAGAATCCACCAAGGATGTAAGATCTATCTGAGGTTGTATGTCAGAGCCCTGCTCGATGATGTTAACTTACGTGGAAGAGATCGGGAGAATCCACCAAGGATATAAGATCTATCCGAGGTTGTATGTCAGAGCCTTGCTCGATGACGTTAACCTGTGTGGAAGAGATCGGGAAAATCCACCAAGGATGTAAGATCTATCCGAGGTTGTATGTCAGAGTCCTGCTCGATGATGTTAACCTGTGTGGAAGAGATCGAGACCAAATCCCCCTGGGATCGATTATCTGGTGACTGAGCTACAATAACGATTGTGTGTTGCTCGAATCAAGGATATTGGAGTTCACAGCTTATGCGAATTTATTAATACAATTTTACTTAAAGAAGATAAAGAAACATAGTCTTACTGCATTAAACAAAGACATAGCTCCCTAAGATAACTTACTGATGAAGAAGCTACAAACACCACAAACAACATTGTTCAAAACTGAAGACATACAATACTGAAGGCACACAATACTAAAAACATACAACACTTAAAACGAATAGCACTATTGTGCTCTACTGATAGTACTTGCGGAGATTGTCAATATTTCAGGTCCGAGGGAGCATCTTTCCTTCAGCACCCTTCAATTTGAAAGTACCAGGCTTTACCATAGCTGCTACCAAGTATGAACCCTCCTAGAGGGGGGAGAATTTATTGCGTTGAGGACCTTTTCCTGCTGTCTCAATGCTGCGTAGAACAAGATCTTCAATCGATATACGTCGTGGTTTCATTCTTTTATTATAGTACCGGACAACTCTCTGGTAGTAGGCAGAAACCTTAAGCATCGCCTCGTCTCTTGCTTCCGGAAAGAGGTCTAGGTTGTGCCTGAGTTTTTTGTCGTTAGCATTTAAGTCAAAAGTTTGAACTCTATGACTTGGGACTCCAATGTCGACGGGAATGACAGCCTCTGTGCCAAAGTAGAGGTTATATGGTGTTTTTCCAGTTGGAGTCCTTGCTGTAGTACGATATACCCAAAAGGATATTTAGGAGCTCGTCAGCCCATTGCCCCCCAGCCTTATCCAGCCTTGTCTTCAATCCTCTCAGAATGGTTCGATTAGTGACCTCTGTCTGTCCATTAGTCTGAGGATGGGCCACAGCCGTGTGTACCAGTTGAATGTGGAGATCTTTACAAAATATGGTGAAGACCCTTCCGGTGAACTGTGTTCCGTTATCGGTGATAAGTTTTACTGGAATGCCAAAGCAATATATTATGTTCTTCCATATAAACTGTTTGACATTTGCTTCAGTGATCTTTGTCAGAGGTTCTGCTTCTACCCACTTTGTGAAATAGTCCACAGCCAAGATGATGAACTTCCGCTGTCCTGTGGCTATAGGAAAGGGTCCTATTATGTCAATCTCCCATTGGGTGAAAGGCTAGGGACTCTGTAATGTTGAGATCTCTATGACAGGTAGATGAGTGAAGTTGACATGTAACTAACAACTGTTACATTTTCGTACGAGCTCTAATGCGTCCTGCTTCATCGTTGGCCAGTAAAATCCCTGTCTCAAGACCTTTTGAGCTAGCGCCCTTCCGCCCAGATGTTCCCCACAAATGCCTGAATGTACTTCTCGGAGTGCATAGTTCGCCTCTGAAGGAGGAAGACATTTGAGGTATGGCCCTGTGAAAGATCTTTTGTATAACTCTCCATTAATAATGGTGAAGTTTGCTGCCTGCCTCCGAAGTTGTACCGCCACTGTTGGGTCTTCAGGAAGAACGCCATCTTGTAGGAAAGTGAGGATGGGGTCGATCCAAGAAGCTTCTTTTAATTCATCTATTGATTGAATTACCTATGGGACTTGAATGCTCGGAAAGTAGATTTCCTCAATATATTTTCTTCTGAAAACGTCTCCTGTCGTAGAAGTGGCTAGCTTGGAGAGAGAGTCTGCCCTTGCGTTCTGTTCCCGAAGGATATGGACGATCTGATACTTCGCTATTTGGGCCAACAAGATTTTAACTATCTAGCAATATTGGGCCAACAATGGATGGTGAGCATCAAAATCCCATTCTACCTGAGAGGCGACCAATTGGGAATCAGTGTGAACCACTAAGTCCTGTACTTCGCAACTGATTCAGCGACGTTGTTTGTTGCTGAGAATTTTAGTCTAAGCCCGTATTCGAGTGTAGCTTTCTATATGGAGATCAATTAGATTACAGCGCCAGCACCAGAACTCCCAGAAGCTCCGTCAACATATAATGTCCAGCAGGAGGAGGAAGGAGACACATCAAATGATTCATTGGAGGTGTGGTTAGTGCATTCGACCTTAAAATCAGCATGCACTTGTGACTTGATATCGGGTCTAGGTAGGAACTGTATATCAAATTCTCCAAGCTC